GGGGGGGGGGGGGGAAGGGATGGGATGGCTCGGCCACCGTGGAGGAAAGAGTGACAATGAGGACACGCCGGCTGAAGATTGGCGTGTATGCGTGTGCGAGGGTCCGCTGGACCCTCGCGAATATTCGGGGGTGTCCTGCGAATGACGGGACGGCATTGTAACCCACGCGCGGAGAACGACCTGTAACCTGTAACGATTCTTCTCAGAATCGAGGTGACGGAAGAAAATTGGATTTTTCGGCTGCAAAAATCAATTACGAACCTTCGGATTATAAACTGCGAAGATTGTGAAATGATGCGATGAATATGGAAATTGTGCAGAGATACGATTATAACAGAAGAAGATTGCAGTTGCTTCGAAGTGCAGCAGAATTATTTTATCGTAGTATTACGTCTCTTTCTCTTTCACTGTTTTATTTTAATTTTAATAATCTATAATGATATTTAAATGAGACATTTTTTATTTATAAACGCTATATTATCCGCGTATTTTTTTTTTAGTGTAATTATCTGCGTGGGGTGTTTCTGATACTCCAACATTATATATCTCAATTTTTATTGTTCTCTTTGCTGATTTACAATTAAATAAAAATTGACAGATAACGTTCTATACCTACGTTCTTTCATACAGATAAATATACAATTTTTTTTTGAAATTGTGAAACAATTTGTATTAAATACAATATAAGAACGTATTATATATATATATGAATAGCGTTTATACATTAGAGAATTTATAGACTGGAGTATTCTGGCTACTCCGCTCCTGCCTCCCCTCCCATATGAATAATAAAAGATTAAGTATGAAACTACAAAACAACACAATGTTTCGTTATATTATTAGTACTCTATGTTTTTGTTAATTTTTGGGTTATTACTGCTGAATAAATAAAACAATTGTACTATTGGTCACTGTACTTTCCCATTGCACCTCTCGTATTAATTTGCAACGACAAATATTTGGAACGTATTACAGCCCGAACGGTGGAAAAGAGCGACAAGCGACGCGGCAATACATCATTGAATCCTGCTGCTTGTCTAATATTATAGGCACCAATCGTAAGGGCTTAATATTGGGGTGAAGGTAAGTGGCGGGCCAGCTGACGCCCTGTGCGCTCCACCCCGCACGCACGCTGCGCGACTCGTCTTGAGGGTGTGCGGATGAGATTTAGGGACCGGCGACAGAAGTCTGCTCGCGACACTGATTTGTGGTGAGCTTTGTTTCAACACTCTCAGATCACCGAGTGAAATTCTTCTCGACGATGTCATTCCATCGAGAGCAAACAAATCTACGATCGCGATATTCGCGATCATCGACCCTACGATGTAGTAAATATACAATACTACTGATAGTACAGGGTACTAATATATTTCATATAATTCCTGTTAGATTTGCTACTTGAAAAAAATTTAAGAAAATAGAATAGCGTTTAAATATGTTGTTACTTCTGGTGTTATTTTCTCGTAACTTCAGTACTTGAAACTTCTTCGTTATTTATAGCAACAATAATACACAATCTAAAAATTACATTCTAATTAAAAATAAAAAGTCGGACAGCAAATTTTTGATTAATATTGTCTATTAATATTGATTATTATTGTACTGACAATAAATAATTGTCAGTATTTATTAATGAATCGTAGAATCTTCTGTCCAGTAATGATTTATCTTTAAATTATATATTTCCTCACAATACCATCGTGTCTTTTTCACTTTCTTTTCCATTATAGATCACAATAATTTAGTAATTCCACATATTGTGTGTTAATGATGTTCAACGCATCAATTAATGTTATCGTTATTATTATTTATTAATAAATTATCTTGATGCGTTTCCCTCTTATCATGTTTTTAAATTATATATTGTTACTCTTTTAAATATTTTCCCATTCCTTTTTCTCTTATTCTTTCTCTTTTTTCAAATTACAAGATTCTCGCTAATGTAGGGTTCTTTGAACCATTTGAATTTGTTTCTTCGTTAACAGAACAAATACAGCTATTTAAAAAATCTGCACCTATTAATTCATCAACAAACAGGATAATTGTCAGTTTAATTATGTCAGATAAACGTTTATCAATAAATTACAACGCGATTTCTTTTGCTTCGTAATTAATCTTCCTGTATTTTTTAAAGTACTTTTTCTAATTGTTTTTTCTTTCTTTTTTCGATTAAATTATAAAATTTCTGTAATTTTCGAACATTATATTTACGATGGTCGATAAACTAATATCATAGTCGCCAAATATCGCCTTTTATTCGCAAATAAATTTTCCCAATGCGTTTACCGATATTTAATAATATGTTGTTTCACTTTTCTATATCCTTCCCATCTTTTCCTTTCTCATCCTTTTTAAACTTTTTCAAACAAGAATTTCGTCAACTTATAGAGTGGCATTTTAAAAACACTAAGGCTCAGTTTCACAATTCACAGTTAACTCTTGACCGATGTTTAACTTATTCCTTATTTCTTTCTAATTCTAGAATTGGAAAGAGATCAGAAGTAAGTTGAACCTCGGTTAAGATTTAACTGCGTGAGTTATAAAATTGAGCCTAAACCTCCTCCCTTATCAATTCCTCAGATTCTATAATGCCAAAAGAGCTTCAAGTGTATAAGTATTTTATCAATGAATTACCGGGATGTGGCCTCCTGTCATGATTACCGCCGAGTATAGCGCTAACGCTGAACTTGAGTTGCGGCTTCTCCTTCTCCTGGATGGTTCTACACGCTGGTCCAGAGCACTGCTCGTCGCCGCAGGAACAGGCGGTGGTCCTCTCGCCTATTCTGTCGACGGCACGCTCGACCACCGTCGCCGCCGCCGTCACCGCCGCCTCCCTCTCTCCCGAGGCGATCGTCATCTCATCGGACGTGTGCATGACGTTTCTGCATCCAAGGTCGTACCGTCTGTCTATCTCGATCGCGGAGACACGCTCGCCTAGCACCATCTCATCCCTGTCGGCCGATTGAAGACCACCATCCAATTCTGCGCCCGGAATCGGATCCTCGTCTACGTTCGAGTTACAGGACTCGACACCGGAATTAGATCGATTGTCGATCCTCTCATTACAGAGCCTCTCCATCGCGCACAGTCGGTCTACCATTACCGGGCCGTCCATCCTATCGTTCTCCATGTCGACGTATACTCCCTGACTCCGGTCCAGGACCTCCTTCTCACGTTGAAGGAGCTGCATCCGGTCGTGTTGCCGCTCACCGGACCTACTGCCGCAGGATCTCTGTTGATCCCTGCCGCCGCAATCGATCATTATGCGATCGCGTCCGCTAATCGTGCCGGATCGTTGGTCCAGGTGATCCTGGATGAGATCGTTGGGGGAGGATCGGTCCCGAACGAGTCTGAGACTCGCCTCGCATTCTCTCTCACGCTGCCGCGCTACCAGACTCGCCGCCCAATTCAAGGTCAGACTGGTGAGATCCGTTCCCGGCGACGCCTTGCTCTGGAGCAGGTTCTCCATCAGGAAGGGCGAGGTCATGGCACTCTGCTGCAGATTCTTCAGCATCGCCGCTGACGAGGGGAACATATCACGGCTGCTTGGCCCACCGACTATTACGATCGTCGTCTTATAGGACGATTTTTAGTCGAAGAAAGGATTGAAGGTCCTTCTAGCTAGCTTCGGACTCGATACTGATCAACGAAGCGCAATTATTTTATTTCTTACGTTATAGTTAATTGATTTCTCTCCATGAATTTTAAACAGTATTAGGTTTATCATTGTTTTGGATACTTACTGATTGACAACTCATTGCCGTTCATCTCGTATAAGATTCGCGCGTAAAAATCAATCGAAAATCACATTTTTATGTTTGAATCAAGATCATCGAAGATCGTTGTGCAACTTTCTTCCAATTTAAAATTACTCAATCTTCACAAACTATTTCACTAATCACACATCAGCATACCGCCTACGATTCCTTCGGATTTATTGCTCGGAAGATTGGTAGCAGTTTCCGCATGTCGAATAATCGCGATAATTATTTCAAAGTCACCGTCGATCGCATGATGCACATTGACATTACAACTCGAGTATCCACTTAGTTCAAGTATCTAAAAATAATTGAATCCCCACCGTGTTTTCAACAACGTGTACTCGGCTCAAAGGAAAGAAAAGGCTGGACCCCCTTATCCCGCGAGATCCTCGTCGCGGAAGATCCCACCGTGCGGGATCACGCGAGTCACATGATCGGGCACGCAACTTCACTTCACGTCCGACGACAACGGACGACGAGGACGTGCGATTTCGGCAGCGGGATGTCAACTGGCGTGCCTGCGTGCGTGCCTTCCGAACGCACGGAAGGGGGGTTAGTGGTGGCAACGGCAACGTGAGAGCATGCAACCCTCGAATGAAGGCCCACAAAAGCATATAGGTGGCTCACTCGTTTCCCCCCCAATTCCCTCCCCGACCGGCGTCGCCGGCGTTCTCGAAACACCACCCCGTACGTACGTGCAGGCAGTGGCCTTACCCGAAGAAGGGTACGCCAGCGAAGGGGTGGATGCCTCCGTGCCTCTTCCCTCACCTCTGACCACCCCGTTGCCCGCTCCACTCTCCGTTCCTCCGCCGCCCCTTCCTTTCCTCTTAGGTGAGATAATACGGACTATAAGCCGAGCAATTCGGGGTTTGGCTCGCTCGGTAATGCCGTAATAAAATCATACTCCCATCAAACGGCGCTGTGCGCACCCCCTTGAGAAACGAAGGAAAAGAGAAAGGCGGGAGGAGAGGGACATTTGGAAGGCACACACTACCCCGGCGGGGATCGTAGAAGGGGGAGAGGAAGCGGTAGAAAGAGGAGGGTAAACGGCTCGCCGCTTCGTATAGTACCAAGAGTAGGAAAAAAGCCTGGAGATTCGCATTCCTTTGGTCTCAACGATTGGATTTTATTTGACGAAGCCGCCCCGCGGACCGTCCAATCGCCTGCCTCGCCGGCAAATGCCGGCCACGCCCATTTACCCCGTCGTACCCCCGATGGTACCGCTAGCCGTTCTCTCGCTTGCACCCCGTTTCTCGCGTATCACCGTTCGCCTTTATCCTCCCCTTCCTCCGACGTTACCCCGTTTGCCCTCTTTCGGTGGGTATAGGGAGTGCGGAGAGCGACCCTCTACGCTCTTATCAACTTTATTATCTCGCACTACTACCGGCGAGCGCGCGCTCGCGTGTATCACGTTCGTGTTGCATAGACTTGCGGGACAGCGCAAGAGAGTACGATGTAATTTTCTTGTCGGTGTAGGTAATTATATTATCGCCGATGAGAGAGAAAGAGAGACAGCTTTGCAGCTCCCCCCCAAACCCACAGGTATAGTAATAATGATAACAGTAATGATGATAATAATAATAACCGCCGGCGGGAACGAGAGAGGCTTGGCGATCGTCCACGACTTCTCTGAATTGCGTAATAATCACGTGATAATGACGATATCGATATATTATGAAGCCGCCGGCTTATTACAACTAGCTTTCAGAATATAGCAGAAATCGAGGTAATGATCGTATTTCCAAGATAAAAATAAAATTTCGTTCTCGGACGTTCAGCTCACTGAAATCACAAAACTTTCTTCTCTACTGCACAATAAGTGATATACTGCATATAATATGTATGACACATGACAATCTAGTAGAAGATACAGAGAAAAAAGCTCTGCAGAATTTTTCTTTCCTACCTCTATAGATTTTTTTTATTGTCTTTCTTACAATATTATTCAGCTGAAATTCTTAATTTTTATCAAATATACACACACATATACATGTTATTACATATTTCTTAATTTGTGTACATAAATGTACAATAAAAAATAATTTTAAAAAGTAATTTTACATTTATTATGTAGACATATGTTTCCTATTTCAAAAATTCTCATGTTACACTCGAAGATTAAAGAATTCGCAACAAAAATATATAAAAAGAGTTCATTCTGAAATTATTAGATGCTATTTACATATAAATATATCAAAATGTATACAAATTTAAATAATATAAATTTAGAAGTATATATCTGTATATATTTTACTAATTCCAGTTGTTCATAAAAAGAGCATTAAGAATTAAAAAAAGAGACTTAACACGCCCCACCGAAATCATTACATAGTTACGTCCATTAGCGTCTGCAACATTTCGAACGATGACACGATATAGTGTCGCACGAAGCAGTGTTGACGAGACACTACGTTGCCGTCATTCCACGCGCATAATTTCGTTACCTCCCCTTCCCCCTGTTCCCCCCCCGTCTGCCCCCGAATCCTGTCGCTCGGGTCAACGAAAGTGACGACGACGTTGCGCGGGGGGAGGGGCGACCTCGTGCGCATTATCGTGGAAAGTACGGCAGAGCATGCTGGCCGTCCACGTTGATGCCGGAAGTGTCCGTAGGGTTAATTAAATTAACGAGCGCGCGATACCGGTGTGTCACCATGTGGACCATGCGGACGTGCGTGTGCACGCATACAAGTACACGGCGCGCGTTCCTCTGACAGCGCGTGATAAGTCTCCTCTCCCGCGATGCTCGCCCCAAGAATTTCACATAAAAGCGGCGTACACGAGGCCATACATACATACGTCCCTTTTAAACGCGCGAGGATAAAGGATCGCGGGACGAAGAAGGACGAGGGAAGAAGAGCGAGAGGGGCAGAGAAGGGTGGGAAAGCGGAAGGAACGAGGAGGGCCGGGAGAAGGACAAGGCGCGACGGCGTGCCCCGCACTTAAGTAGAGCCGTCGTCTATTACCGGCGGGGGTCGTACGAAAACGAGGACAATGAAGGGTAGAAAGCGGCGGGAAAGAGCGAGAAAGAGAGAATGGGAGAAATAGGGCCGATGAGGTTGGTGCAGAGTGCCGCGGGTTTTTCTTACACGATTTTCCACCCTCTATATATAGGGGGTGCACACGTCCACCACCGCACCCGCCGCCGGCTCCGGCCACGTGGTGGTGGAGAGTCGGAGGCAGCCAACGCGAAGCGTGCACTGCGCGCCATCCTATCCCCCCATGGAATTCGAACCCTCCCACCCCCGCCGACTAGCCCCCGTAGCGGTGGTCGGCGGGGGTGGGATGCTGCGACCACGCCTACGTTTCGGAATCACCTCTACCTCGTCGACGTCACGACTTATCACCCTCTCAGCGGCAGCGGCGGTGGCGGCGGTGAGTTGCGGAGAAACGTTGTGGAAGTGGCGGATGAAGAAGAGGAAGGAGAGAGAAGAGGCAAAGGCGGCCGCGACGAAGGAGGAAAAAAAAATAATGAAATGAACATCGGGAGGGAATCGCGGAATTATTATACGAGCACCAGACGAGGGGGGTGATCGGGAGCACCAAGTCGGTTAGCTTATATAAATTGGGGGCGGTTCGGTATATAGGCATTTCCACGGCGAAGGGAGTTGCGCTGAGAAACGATTCGTTTTGTGTGCGGGGGTTCGGGATAATTATTCATTCATCCGACGTGATGGACCTATGAGCGGCCGCAACGATGGCGATTTCGTTTTAAAAATCTCGGTGATGAATAATCGCGGCTTTCAACGCTTCCATCCTATATAAGTCTTATATTTCATCTATTTATCCTTCAATCAAGAATATTGAACTTTTCAAGAAATTGTGCGGGAAGTTAAAGTAATGTTAATATTGTTTGAGTAGACTAGTATTCATATTAAATTAATTTCCTACGGTAACTTCATAATTTGTTGGTAGAGTCAGTTTTTATGTATAATTACACACCACACACACATACATATTATATATGTAGTGTGTGTGTGTATATATATATAAATATAATAAGAAAAATTATTTTTCTACCCCCATGTTGTATCCCGTATTATTAACAGATACGAAAAAAGCAATGTAAACTGTCTTAATATTACCCAATATAAATTGAGGACAATTTGAATGGCGGTACTCCTGTTAGTCCGCGAAGGGAGGAAATGAAAAATGATTTATTTCGAGCAGGGGTAAAATAATTATGGACTCAGTTCTGATAAAGTGACCTAAATGATAAAGGGAGCTACATTATCATGATGTTCATAAAGAATTTAGCCTTTAATAATGCAATTATAATAGATCATTAAACCAAATGTATACTTGAACATGTATTAATGTTTCAATTATATAATTAATTATTATATGTGTATATTGTATAATCAATCTTCGTAAACAGTGTTTCTACGAAAAATATAATATATATTTTAAATAATATATATAAAAAATTTTCTGTTCCAATATTTGAAGAAATGATTCGCTAAAGAATAATGCTTTTAAAAATAAAGGAGAAAATACCAAATATATAAAAAGAGAGAAGTCAAAATGGCAGATTAAAAGGCATTGATTAATTGTAAGGAACCAAAATGACGTGACTCGTATAAAAAGGAATAAATACTAAGTGCGTTTTAATAACGACAATTCAAACTTACAAATTGTAATATAAAGAGTATAATTGAATAGATAAAATAAATTTACGTTAGCTCCGGATGATTAAAGAAAAATGTGCAGAAATATGCACAATATCTGTTATAGACATATTTGCTTTTCGAATATTTTCAATAAATTCTATAACAAC